TCTCCCTAGAAATTTTGGCAGAGCTTCGCTTCAACTAAAAATCGCACAAGGAAGTGAGGCCAGGCGTGAGGTATTTTTAGCCTCCCCAACCGCGATTAAAACCGGAACCAGGGCCTCCGGTTAAAAGCCCATCATTACGAACAGTCGCTTCAGCCCAATCGGTGACACCTGCCCGATGCGCCCCAACCAGTACGCGCCACGTGGACAATTCCTCTAACGGTTATATTTTAACGATCACTTCAGGGAAACTAAACGGCCTCAGCAAACACCCCTCAACAACAATGACGCGAAGCCCCCGGGTCACACATTTTATCGAACCCCTTCAGCCCGAACATGCTCTCGGCTTCAAGGAGTGACGAACTGGGAGACCCCCTCGGAAAAACACGCGAACGTAAAGTTTTTCGCAGAAATCAACCATGGCAAAATAACCACCGACAAAATCACAATAAATAGTTAAATACTCCCTTTTCCCTCAATAAGCTCTCGGCAAAGGGAGTGGGGTACTCCTGATGGAGTATATGGCCCAGGAACCCCCCCCCGACCCACATACTCCCACTACCACGAAACAGGCTCAGGCGGCCCATATGTGACGTCCCAAGCTCCATAAAGTCCATAGTACATGAAGTATGCCTTCGGCCCCCGTGCCGAGGGCCTTAAACTCAAGGGTACGCCTACTTTTTGGGTGAATAGCACTACTGGAAAATTCAGTCTCGAATGTCAGCCTTCGTGTAACACCGTCCCCAAAAAAAGTATTTACTTTTAAGTTAATAATGTATTGAACTTATGGAATGGTTAACGAGTATTCGAAGTTGTGAATTTTTATTAATGTTTTTGCGGGAATAGTAAATTCGCACATGGGACCCACACTGGGAGCGGGGCCGCCCGATATTCCCAAGACCGTATATTTTATTCAACTTGGTCGAAATAATACTTATATAGAGGGGGATAATTTATTTGGTCCAAAGAAATGACATGATGTGGACCGATTGGTCAAAAGCGGCTCAATTACCGGTATTGGTAATTTAACGAATAATAGCCCGAAATTGGATTTCGGAGACCTATAAACTAAAGTTGGGGAATTCATATTCACTATAAGGGTCATAATGATTGAGAACACATAATATATTTTATTTGACCCGATAAAATAAAATATATTTAAAACAGTCCGAAAAATACAACTTTCGGGACCGATTGTACACTTTTGGGCAAAAAGGGTTGACCTCCCACATGGGTGGGGGCCAACCCACGAATTTTGTCTTGAAAATGGAGTGGGTGGCCGGCTGGTAGGATAGGAGGTCATGGGAGGGGATTTTGAGATGAAAGAATTGGCATCAAACAAAATGAGTTGGACCCCCATCCACACTCATTTGTTCATTAAGACAAAACAACCATCCTCACCCTTTCCTCTCCCTCATCCCTGCGGCCAGCACACCCCAAGAAAGAGCTAAAGCTTCCTCCATCTTTCATTCTCCATTGTTGAAGAGAGCTCAACAAGAAGGAAACTCAAGAAAGGGGCTAAGGTGCTAAAAGTGAGGAAAAGCTAGGTAATGAGTTCATTTACTCCCTTCCTCCTTTTTCTTGAAGAGATTTTTATTCAAAATGTTAAGGATAAGCCAAGTATTATTCTACCCAATTAAAAGTGTAGAATGATGGGTTGAAAGGTGGTTCAATGTCCAAAAACGGACATAGAAGCCAAAACGACCGGTTCACCGGAAAATAACCTTTTAGAGGTTATTTGTATTGATTAAGGTTTTATGATGTTAAAACCTTGTTAGGAACTTGATTAAAGCATTTTTGAGCTTCACCGGAGTTTCGCCGGAGTTGGTCAAAGTTCGCCGGAATTGGTCAAAGTTCACCGGAATTAGTCAAAGTTCAATCGGGGAGCGTAGAACGCGCTTAAGCTCACTTAAGGTGAGGATGACCGACTATATTGCTTATAATCTTTGGGTTAATTTCATGAGATTTCCTAAATGAATACACAATGTGATTTGCATGGATTATTAATGGTTAATAATGCCTAAATGAAATTACTACTGAATATAAAGTATAGTTTGCATAATATACAAATTTATTGAATAAGTTGTGTATGTTTATATGATATGAAAATGATGGCATGATAGTAGTATCAACCATAAATCCCATTTGTGATAAGTATGCTTTTATTTCATGAGAAGAAGCCATGAAAGAATAAAAGTGATATTTTGATATTAAGGCCAACTTACATATTGAATGAAGAATTACATTGAAATGAGTGAATAACTAGTATTGAAATATTAGTTGGAATTGCAGTTGAATAATGGATGAATGGATCCTAAGAAATTGAATTGTAGAGAATCGGTGATTATTGAGCTGGGCTCTAGACCGATGTAGATAACAGTGATTATTGAGCTGGGCTCTAGACCGTAGTAGTTATCGGTGATTATTGAGCTGGGCTCTAGACCAACGTAGATAACAGTGATTATTGAGCTGGGCTCTAGACCGTAGTAGTTATCGGTGATTATTGAGCTGGGCTCTAGACCGATGTAGATGACGGTGATTATTGAGCTGGGTTCTAGACCGTAGTAGATAACGGTGATTATTGAGCTGGGCTCTAGACCGTGGTAAATAACGATAAATTGACACTAAACGAACAAAGTTAACTATTATATGATAATACCCTGGTTGAGGGTCTTGGAAATTGAAACATTGATTATACTTAGTATAGTTGTCATTGTACTTGTCAAATGCTTCCAAGTACTGACCCCGCCTTCACGAGGGAGGCCACCTCACAGTTTCAGGTAGGAGCTGAGCTTGCTACCAGTGCCCGTTGCTCTGGGTGAATTCAAGGAAGGAAGACGTGGTTCGTGCTTCCTCCGTTCCTGTTTTAAAAACATTTAAATTAATGCTCATGGATATTACATTTTTGAATAATCATTTGGGGGCTTGTATGCCCATGTTTGCCAAAGTGTGGCACGAACACTTGTATTAAATGTTTCCGCTGCTTTGAATGAATATTTTACATTATTTTTGTTTATGGATGTACTATGTGTGAATGATATCCCAGACGCCTTGTATAGTATGAATGTGTTGGACTGCGGTTGACTATGCGTACTGTACGGCGGATTGTTGACGTGTCTGGATAGGTCCGGGGCGTGACACTTCGGCAGTATGGCCTTCGGCCCTCTCATTGAGGGGTCACCCCTCGGCAAGGATTCCTCTCTGAAGACACACAACCACCGCATTCAATGCGGTGTCACGTCCAACTATCGCATTGAATGCGGTGCCACATGCAGTGCTGGCGCCACCGCGGCTAAAGTGATTCTCCACCATAGATTAGCTTACACGTGACATGCATTGAATGCGCCTAGCACTTATGACTGCTATAAATAGTGCCCCTTTGGCAGATGTAAAGCACGACCAATTCATTTATTGCATCTCCATTCTCTCTCTTACTTATTGTTCCGACTTCTCTCTAGATACCCCTCGTGGTATCCCGATATAGTCTCTATCATTTTCGATAAACAAATTTGGGGGGGGGACTAGAAATAATGAAAAAATAATATTAAAGGTTTTTCAGTTGACAAAAATAGGACCATATTTTTGTATGGATAAAAGAGAGACCAAATAAAACTGAGCGGGCCAAAATTCTCTCAAAATCCTAACCCAAGTCTACATCGTATCGCTTCCACCGCTTCTTCTCTTTTATGAAGGGTCTTCTGTATCACACTATTTGTCCTTCGAAGGACTGTTAGCATTCAAATTTCTCTGTTGTTACCTATCTAAACAACACACCATAACCATTATTGTATGCCTCGCCAAAGCCCTACCCCACACTATTTCCTTCTTCTTTTTGTTTCTAATCTTTGGAGGTGAGTGAGATTTCTCAGTCTCACAACTGTTGCTTGTCGTTGTTGCAACTATAACTCTCATTTCTCGTCGCCCTTGCAGACATTTCATCTCTCTAACGATGAACACAAAAGCGTCACCATCATCATCATGTTCATCACTGATGGCGGCTAGCGATTAGAGTTTGAAGAGCTGCAGTGACAACTAGGGGGCATGAGGTGCACGGGTTGGAGGCAATGTTTCTACATGTTGGGGAGGGGGACGAGCAAGGGTGAGAGCAGGGGGCAGCAACGGCGCCAAGAAAATATTGGGGTCGCGGATGGGGCGTGAGCAAGGGCAGGGGAAGGTTGTCATTGGACAGGGCGTTGATTGGTCACTGGCGGGCGGTGAGTGACAGATGGTGATTGATCACTAGTAGTGGTCACTGGTCGGCGATGATTAGTGAGTGATGGTTGATCACTTGTGCGTTTAGTCATGATCACTCAATAGTATGCACTTTGATATTTTTTATGTTAAACGACTTACATTAAAAATCCAAAATTGAGGCAAGTTATATCAAGATAAAAATTTACACCCCGATCACTATCCGTAAAACCGGACTTAAAGTTAATCAATCACCTTCCAAAAGCAATATAAATCGCTGATCTAAAAAACGGGCACAATTGAGCCAAAAATGATAAAACACAAGCAAAATAAAGTCCGACTTGAAAAAAACTAGAACATAAAATATCAACTAAAATTAAAGAAACCTCCTAGAACAATGAAGAGCGGAAGAGCCTCAAGCAACATCTTGAAAGAGAAAAAGTCGGGTCTGGAGTCGATAACACACCTCCCCATTTTTTTGTGTTTCTCCCACCCCCGAAGACGCTTTCGAGTACCTGTCAATTGATCTCCTTCCATTCTTGCCCCACCCACCTCTTCAATTGCAATTTGACTACAACACTCCTATATCTTTCCTAGTGAATTCATCTCCAGGCCTAGGGCATACACGTATTAGATATTTAAAAATCATAATGTTCCAAAATTAAAACATATAAGTCACCTTAATATCTTTAGGATTTTTTTTAATAGTTATCATATTTTTGTCTACTACTTTTTCTTTTGGAATTATTTTTTGCAAAACCAAAATAACTACTAGGTACAAATTAGATTTGATTAGAGGGTCGTTTGTAGAATAAGAAGTGTGGAATTACTCCACCAGATCCGATCCTCGCTAAATAAAGTCATACTCCTATTGAGGGGGAGAGAGCGAAGAGCGCTTGAGATCTGGGAATTTGCAGAGATAAAAATGGCTTCGTTTGACGCCTTTAGTATGGACACAGAGCAGCCGACGACAGCTGCTTTTGTTGACGGTGGCTATGGCGGCTACTCTGAATTCTCTTCCGAGACGCCGCCCTACCAACCTGCCGGCGGTTTGTCTGAGGACTACGTTGAAGTGACTGCGGAACATACCCTTGAATCTGTCGACAGCCCCGTTCCTTACAGATTCGGGTCGGATTCGTACCAGGGACATGCCACTCCATTCGGATCCTCTCCTATACCAGTCTCAAACGGTAACGGCAAGCCCTATGACCTTGGGGAAGATTCTGAGGGTGTATTCAGCTCCGAAGGCACCGTGCTTCCTCCTCCCAACGAAATGCGAGAGGAGGGCTTTGCTTTGCGCGAATGGAGAAGGTCAGATCACACTTGTATCTGTTTCTTCTTAACTAATGGATTGTGATTCAGTATTATTTAAAGTTTAATTTTCTTTAGATTTGCCTGTTTCTCTTCAAAATGGTTTTCCATAATCATCATCCATTATCTTGAGCTGTGTAACTTCAATTTGAACCGATCAACTCCCATGTGCGCCCGATTGTGATTATTTTACAGGAATACTCAGATCTGGGTTTCAATGGAGGAGAAGGTTTATATTTTGCTATAAATTACGGAGTATTATCTTTCAGAGTTTAATTATGGTTTAGTTGACATCAACCTTATATTATACATACTTCTTACATTTTTTCATTTATAAGAATTTTATCAATCCAGAACTTCAAGATGGGTTCACTAAAAGATGAAGTGTCTGGGATCCGAATGAAAGATTGTTGATCTAAGACCTAAAATTCCATGAATTTTAATATTTTTATTTCAAAAGATTTAAATATTATTTTATCTTATTAAACTAATTAAATTTTGTGAAGACAAAATCTTCAAAAACTGGCAAAGGGATTAATAAAAATGAAATAAATCAATATGTGTGATATTTTAGGTCTTTGATTGATAGTTCTCAATCATTTGGGTCCTATATTGACACACTTTATTTCTCAGATCTCTTATTATTAGTGAACCTATTTTTCACTAATAGGATCAGCGCGGTGTCCCTCCTCCACCGCCAGGATGACTAGTCAGCGCCTAGGGGATGCCGTAACAACTATGGGCAGAAGTAGAAGAATATCTGAAGGGGTGTTCATATATATATAGAGAGAGGGCAGTTCCAATGAATGTGCGAACAGAGCACTTTTGGCCCAGTTTGATGCACTACGTTTGTTTCACATTTTTAACCTTGGGCAAAACTTGACAACATCAAATAAACATTGATAATTATATAAGTATTCTGCGAGCCTGAAAAAGAGCAATGTATAAACTTTATAGTGCATCACAGTGGCTTAAAAGTATCGTTCATACCGTTCTCACGTTAACCATTGTTTTCATTTGATTTTGAATCTCTCTCTCTATATGCACACACATGCACACATTCTCAACTCTCCACTTAGATCGTGTTCTCATTTGATCCAAATTATATATATATATATATATATATATATATAGAGAGAGAGAGAGTAATCTTCCGGTCAGGAAATTCCTGACCGGAGCGCCGTTCGGCCTCCACCTTTTGGGGGCCTTCCCGGTGGCATTTTTTGCTCAAATTTTTTGTGTATGTTCCTCATCAAGTCTAGTTCATTCATACCAATTTTCAGAAAAAAATTCAATCGGGAAAGTCGTCAAATGATTTTTGCAAGTTAACTTGTCCAGAAAATACATATTCCGGACCAGTTAACTTGCAAAAATCATTTGGCGACCTTCCCGATTGAATTTTTTGCTGAAATTTGGTATGGATGAACTAGACTTGATGAAGAACATACACAAAAAATTTGAGCAAAAAATACCACCGGGAACTGCCCCAAACGACTGAGACCGGACAGGGGTCCGGTCAGGAAATTCTGGACAGGAATTTTCCTCTCTCTCTCTCTCTCTCTCTATATATATATATATATATATATATCGCTGCTAGGTAGCAACTCGATCAAAGGGCGAGTAGTGAGTAGGACCCAGTACTCAAGATTACTCTGTGACTACTCAGATTTATATAATTATATTAATTAATTTTAAAATATAAATATCCAAGATTATAGTGATATATTATTCTTATAATTCTAAGATATGAAAAAAACTAGTGAAGAAGAAATGAGATATAAGATAGAGCCATGGAGGAGAATAACTTACCTAGAGATGGGGAGGAAGTACTACTAGAATGAGCAGATGTATGAAATACTTTTAAACCTAGACATTTTAAGATTTATTTTCAAATTTTAAAATACCCACTCATTATTTATAAATTCCATTATATCCCTCTCTAATTAAAACTTTGTAGATTTAAAAAAACAAATTTTTTATGCCTGGTCGAGTAACTCGCCGAGTTCATAACTTCCCCGAGTTGAGAAACTCGCCGAGTATTCGGTGAGTAACTCGGAAATAATATACGGACCGAGTCAAGTTGCTAATCGGCAAGGCCACCACTCAAGTAGCGAGTACTCACTGCTCACAGAGTACTCTATTGAAATATATGTTGTATAATGGTATAACCCATAATTGAAATACTCTATTAATGTAATTATCATGTTATTTTAGTAGTTTTAGTCCAAAACATAGTAAGTGTGAAATTTTTCTCAAGAATACTTGCATCATTAACATTACCGAAGTGTTGAATTAAAAAAATGCTTAAAATTTAGGCTTGACAACCGCTGAAATAATTATTAAAAATTAAAAAACTAAAAATCACTGACTTTGTGTTCAAATTGGCGTCCCCTTTTGAAGGGATGTGAGTGTGCAGCTTGACAACCGCTGAAATCCATGCGTGTTTGTGTAAAAGGCGCGCATTTAGTTATATATATTTCTCTTCAATGTCCAGGGGCTGCACATATATTATATATAATCACACATCTTGATCGCCGGACCCCCTAGTTCTGCCAGCGGTGGGCGGTGCTCTTGTGACCTAGGTTAGAATTTGTGGTATCATAACTACAGGTCTTTTCATAAGGAGTATAAGATTTTCGCCCCAACTTTTGCTCCCATTACTTCTATCATCTTGTTATGAATCTCCCTGGCTATTGCCATGTTGGTATTTGACTGTTTCAATATAACAACAAGACAACAATAAAATCCAAGCCTTATTCCCAAAAAAATTCTGGAGTCGGCTAACATGAATCAGTCCATGATATCAGGGGATTCAAATCCAAAAGGAGAAGAAAGATAAGAAGAATAAAAAGAGAAAGTTACAATAAAGATAAATATAAGATAAAAATAACATAAGAACATAGAAAAAATAAAAGATAAAAGGGCATAAGAAAGATAAAAGATAAAAATAACATACGAATATAGAAAGACTAAGAAGATTATAGATAAAAAAAGAGGGTGAAAAGAGATCAATCGTCCGCACGAATATGCGTCCTTCACTTTGTTCTCTTCAAAGCCATAGTCTCATCCAACCCAAAAAGAAGCTTATCAGTTCTTATTTCTCTAATCTAAGCCTGTTTGGGTCCCCCCCTCTCTCTCCTCCCCACCTCTCAAGTTGTCCAAGTGTTTTCATCATCTCAATTTGTTAATATTTTTTTGTAAGAAACAGCATGTATCCTTGTGTGTCTTGCTGCTTGATTGCCTTGGATATATATATTCCTGAATACAGAATCATGGTAGTGCGGAAAAGTCATATCCTTCAGGTGGAAGGGGTGTTAGTTATTTTATGGGTGCGTAGGGGAACTGAGTGATGGGGTTCAATAAGCTAATTTTGCCAGTATATCACTCAACAAGTCAACAGCCAAGAAGTGCAATGCTGTATTTCTCATTTGTTCAGAAGAGAATATTAAAGTGATTGAGGTGCACCTTTTTTTGTGGAGGGAAGGGAAGCATTTGTCTTTGGTTACCAGGCGCCTTTGAAAAATCAGTCTCCCTACATCCCAAAAAAGTCTAATTTTTTGTCTCAAAAAAGAGTCTTAATTGACATAAGTGGCTAATTTTCATTATGTTGATGTAGATTATGAAAAACTTAAAGAAGCTAAGAATGTTAACTTCAGTTAAATAACAAAAAAGTCTAATTTTTTCCCTCAAATTAATGATTTCCAATAGCCTTGCCTTACCAAATATAATTACTTAAAGGCATTATGATGTATTTTCTTCCCCTTATTTGGTTTGTATTTTCATCATTTGCAATGGAGCCAAAGGCTTACTATTTTTTTGGCTTGGGAATATGACGGAATAAAGCAAAATGACTCGCTAAACTATCTGCGCTTCTTTATTATGAAACAATAGTTAATCCATGCAATTTGCGACGCGATTTTCAGTATGGGTCATCTGATAACAGTCTCCGTGTGTTTTAGTAGAGGGGTGTTTTAGTACAGGGGTAAGACTACGTACATCCGACCCCCCTTATCCCACCATAGGTGGGAACCTCTGCGGCACTGGGGTAATGATGATGATGATGATGATGATTGTAATGGTTTGAAATCGATTTCATCTAACGAATACCAGATCTCATTTGATCATGAAGTGTGATAGGTAGATTTGTCATCACTAAGATAAGAGCCAACTGGCCATTTTGTTGGTCATCTTACATTTTGTAGGCCATCTCACAACTGCTGTCATTTTCTTTTCTTTTTTCCTTTTGTGCCAGGGAAAATGCCATTCGACTTGAGGAGAAGGAAATGAAGGAAAAGGAATCAAGAAACAAAATTATTGAAGAAGGGGAAGAGTATAAGAGAGCTTTTTACGAAAAAAGAAAGCTCAATATTGAAACTAATGTGACCATTAACAGGGAAAAGGAGAAGGTATATGAATCTACATAAAACAGTTATTTATGCTTTTAATCAAAAGTTAATTCTTTTTATAGATAAAAAAGTAAAAAAACACTTTGGTCTTGGACTTTCACTCTTGCCATTTCTCTCATTGCATGGTCCTATTCTTTTTGAATTCTTGCCACTGTTGGTCCTCATTACTCATCCAGCAAGGTTTCTTTCAAATTCCTTCTATTTTTTGCTTGAAAAATGACCAATAACAGCAAGAAATCAATAGTTGTGGATCAAAAGAGGAAAGAAATGAATGTTAGAACTAAAAATGTGAATGGCCTAATTATCGTGGGACCAGAAGGTTTTACTTCTGTTTGCTTTCCAAAACATTGACACACTCCACAACTTTATCTTTTGATCAATAATAGTTATACTTGGCTAACCAAGAGAAGTTCCATAAAGAAGCTGATAAACAATACTGGAAAGCCATAGCTGAACTAATTCCAAACGAGGTACCCAGCATTGAGAAGAAGGGCAGGAAGAAGGATCAGGAGAAAAAGCCATCAATCATTGTGGTTCAAGGTCCCAAACCAGGAAAACCTACTGAGCTTTCAAGGATGCGCCAAATTCTTGTGAAGCTTAAGCATAGTCCACCACCGCACATGATCCCACCCCCTCCTGCTCCTGCTAAGGATGTCAAAGATGGGAAGAAGGAAACGAAAGATGCCAAGGATGGGAAAAATGTCAAGGACGGGACAGAAGCAGGTGGGCCTGCCAATGATGCTAAAAGTGTTGCTTCCACATCAGAAGAACATGCTACAACCCAGACTCAGGGTCAGCAACCCTCTGCATGAACCTTTCTGATCTATTTGTGGGACAACCCGGACACAGGGTCAGCAGCCCTATTGAATCTTTCTGATCTATTTGTGGGCCCTGGGTTTTTTCTCATGTTGCTTACAAATTTTGTATTATTTGTATTACTCGTTGGTCTTGCAGAGTTACGCTTACAGTGTTTGTAGAATGTGTCACTTGCTTCGTTATACTGTTGAGATTGTGGAGTACTGTTTCACTTGGTGTTCAGTATACGTTTGTGTATCCTTGACCCGCTTTATGACATGGATTTTCTATTTTTTATCATTGAAAAATTGAAATCAGAGTTTCTATAGATCGGGAAATGCCCTTGCACCGAATTTGACCTCATATCAACGTATAGGTTAGGGTGGACTTGGGCCGGGCGGCCTGGCACGGAACCGGCCCGGCACGGCCCGGTCACTGTTTGAACCGGCCCAAACCGCTGGCCCGGCCAGGGACCGGTCTGGGTAGGCCCGACCCGCTTGGGTTCCGGGCCGGGCTCGGGCCCTTGAAAAGGTGAACCGGCCTGGCCGGTTCGGGCCCGGTCTGGGCCTATTTTTTTTTTTCTTTTTTTTTTTTGAATTTTTTTTAAGTTTTTGGATTGGGCTGGGTATTTTGGGCCATTTGAGGTGGTTTGGGGTGATTTGGGTGAGGGTTGGGGGTTAATTAGGAAAAGCCAAAAAAAAATAAGTTGAACCGAGGCCCGGCCGAACCGGACTTGGGGGTTACCTGGGCCGGTTCCGGGCCTCCCCTTTCATGAACCAAGGCCCGAACCGGGCCCGAACCGGGCCCGAACCGACCCGAGTCCACCTCTAGTAGGGGTGGGTTCGTAGAACCGAAAACCGAAAACCGAATCGAATCAAATCAAACCGCGACCAAATAAACCGAACCGATGAAAAACCGAAACCGAATATAAGAAACCGAACCGAACCGAACATGTTTGGTTTCGATTTCGGTTTTGACTCCTCAAAACCGAACCGAACCGAAAAAACCGAAATATTTAAAAACCTAACTAGAGGTCCTCTAGTATAGGTCATACTTTCATAATATGAAATTATGAACCTATCATACGCGTATATTGGTTGGATCAGATGGGAGAAGATTTGTGCACGGGTTGCAAATACTTAGGGATGGATTTGGGCCGGTACTGTTTGTACCCGGCCTGGTAACCGGTCATAGGACCGGTCCGGGTGGACCGAATCGGGAAATAAATGGGGCTAGATCGGGCCTTCAAAAAGTGGAACTGGCCCGGTCGGGCCTGGTCCGAGCGTATTTCTTTTTTTTCAATTTTTTTTTTTGTTTTTCGTGGGTTGGGCTGGGCGTTTTGGGGGGGTGGGGGTGAGGGGGGGGGGGGTTAACTAGAAAAGTAAAAGAAGATAAAAAACATTGAACCGGCCTGGCCCAGCCCGGAACCGCTGCCTACCCAGGCCGGTTCCGGTTCTCCCTTCCCAAAAAAAAATGTACCGGCCCGGGTCCATTTCTACAAATACTTCATTTTATCGTTTATAAAGAATTGAACACGAGTCTCTAAAACATAACATTATTTATTTTACCATCTCACATTCTCACCTAGGGGTGGACTCGGTCTGCTAGTCCAACTGAGCCGGAACGAGACCCGACATTGTTTGAGACCAGCTCGGGACTGGTTTTCCAATCTTGATCTAGGACCCCCCCCCCCCCCCCCAAATAGTCTACTTTACCTAGTCTCGAGTGTATTGTTTTGGGATCGAGACCGGCTTGTCTCAGGTCCCGTCCCAATTCTTTTTCCATTTTATCCTTTGGAGCCTATATTTTGATCGTTTGAAAAGCCTCTAACGGCTAGTTGAGCCCTATGAGTGTTTGGAAGGGGTTGGGAAGCCTAAAAATTATTCTATAAAATATCCACTCATTTAAAAAAAAAAGAATCTTCACATCTTCCGTTCTACAATCTATACTTCTAATCTCTCATTCTCTTTACTCATACATTCTTCATCTTTACATTTATATTTAATATATACTACGTATATAGTAATCTTCTAGTCAAGCCTCCTGATCAGAACCGCTGTTCGAATGGCACCGTTTTGGGTCCTTGGTAGAATTTTTTGATGAAATGTTTTGGACATGTTCTTCATCAAATCTAGTTTATGCCCACCAAATTTCAGCTAAAAATTCAATCGGGAAGGCAGTCAAATAATTTTTGGAAGATAATTGCGCCAAAATATACATACAAAACGCAGTTATCTTCCCAAACTTATTTAACTACCTTCCCGATTGAATTTTCAATTGAAATTTGGTGTACATAAACTAGACTTGATGAAGAACATGCCCAAAATATTTCCATCAAAACATTCCACCGGAAAAAGGCCCGCACGGCGCCGTCCGGACGGCGGTTCTAGTCCGGAATTCCGCGCCTGAAATTCTCTCTCTCTCCTCCCTCCTCTCTCTATATATGTATGTATATATATGTATGTATATAGCGACTTGAGAACTTAAGATAATGATGATGATGGGGATACAGCAAAGTGAAGAGGAAATATAATGTATATTCACTCAATGTCAAATACAGAAAGCCATATATTAAAAGAAAGACAAAAGGAGATAAAGAATAGAACATCACCAAATGAAAATAAGAATGATAATAATAACATGATCAGCCTAACATGGCACTCTCTGTATAACTACACCCCATTTCAGACTCCTTTTCTTTGTGCAAATTGCAGCCTGCTGCCTATACATGTTCCAGATGGTTTTTTTCACTTTACGATTCCTGTGTGCAGTAATGATTTTTATCTAGCACTCACCTGAGTGATAGTGAACGGGGCAGAGCTCATAGGCTGACTAGTAGATGTGTCAGATACATTCTGTTTTGGGGGAACATTCAGCCCAACAACAGGATCCTGAAATAAACCAGGTGGGGTCAGTTCTTCCTCATTTAGTTTGATGTTTCGAGATAGCATGTTGATGACCTGACTCATCATTGGTCTACGGCTTGCATTTGCTTGGGTACAGAAAAGCGCAACCTTCATATACTTTAAGACTTCCTCCTTTGGGAACTGATCCAGCTCGGGATCCACAAGCTCTAACAGATTGCCGCCTTCATGCAGCTGCCATGCCTGTTATGAGACACATTTGTAGTTACATTGTTTTATTCCTATTATACGGGTGCATATGTGCCACGCATCCGCAATATGTGTTTGCTCACCTCCTGTGGACCCCCCCTGAAAGTGGACTGTGTGTAGATTTTGTGTTATGTACTTATGTCTATTGCTCTCATATACTCCAAAGCCACAAGAGAACTTCTAGTTAATGATGCGCACGAAAATCTCATATGGAAGCATCAAGAACCTATTTGGAAAGGTAAAACTTGGTGGAAATGGCTATAAATTCGTTGAAGTGACTGAAATAAATGAATGAATTGACTGAATTATCTAGAGAAAAAATAAAAGAACTCCATTATTAAAGCTGATAACATTTGAAAAGGGCATAAGTATCATTCCATTCATTATGGCCAAAAACTAAAAGTTAACTTTCACGCTCCAGAACTACTCCTAACAATCAAAAGTTAACAACGAAAGCTCATAGACTCATGCAAAGTGACATAGTATACCATTGGATTGCTAATTGAAATGTTCTTACTCACCCACCTGTTCAAGAAGTATTTTCTGTTGTCCTCCCCAGTTAGTACCTGAATTGTTCTTCCCACTTACAACTTCCAGCATCAGGACACCAAAGCTGTAGACATCAGCCTTTAATGTTAACTGACCCCCTAATACATATTCAGGTGCCAGGTAACCACTGTTAGGAATGAACACAAGGGGGTTCATGTAAGAATAACATGTTTCAGGAAATCCTACTATATCTAACTCAAATCTTACAACTTATTCATTTAGAAATTTATTGACATTAGGGCTTGTTCGGTCATGAGATTTTGGAGGGGAAGGAAGATTGTTTTGTGTTTTACAAAAAAAACTACTAGTATTAATTAGTCTTAGACTAGAAAATAAATACTCTGTACATGTTCAAATAAGTCATGTTTCCTGTATAATTGATCATTATTACTTTCTCTCTAAGGATTAAATCTAAGAATATTAATACTACGCAAATAAATAGGGAAAATTCCCGCAATAAGAGTAAAAACGTTTTGGAAAGGCTAAAATAAGACTCTCATGTTTTTATTCCCTAAATAGAAGTAATTACTTCCAAGCTTGAAAAATATTGTCATGTTTAAGATCTCGCAAGCCAAAACATGATAGTAATGACTCCTATTTAGAGAATAAAAACATGATAGCCCTATTTTGGAATTCACAAACGTTTTTACTCCTATTTAAAGACCACCCCTCGCCCAAATCCCCGACCAAAAAAGAGCTTAGCCAACAGTAGTAACACAAGAATAAGAAATATCACATTTGAATGTTGAGACAGGGAAATGACCAAAATTTAACTGCAAAGTGAAGGGGAGACATACGTTGTTCCTGCTATTTTGGTACTTATGTGGGTCATGTTATCTGGGAAAAGCTTAGCCAACCCAAAATCGCCTATCTTTGGCATAAAAGCTTTGTCTAGCAATATATTGCTGGCTTTAATGTCCCTGTGCACTATATGTGGTACCAAAGCTTCATGAAGATAAGATAGACCCTGGGCAGTTCCCATGCATATAGCAGCTCTTGTTCTCCAGTCCAAGTGAACAGTCCTACTTTGACCTACAAACATGCGCAGTGTATTTAAGGGCGGTTTGGTAAAGCTTATTTGCTTAAATGTTGAATTTGCTGAAGTTCCGGGTAGGAAAAGCATTCAGTTACATTCATTTGAGCCAATTAATAAAGTCAGCAACTCATTATGATTTTTCTTGTCAAAAGCAGAATAAGCTTATCCTAGCTACAAAAAAAAACTACTCCCTCCGTATCAAATTAATTGACCCGTATGCTTTTTCACGTAGTTTAAGGTAAATATATGTAAAGTAGGAGGTTTTGGTACTGTAGCGGTACTGTAGCAGTACTGTAGCTGCTTTTTGGGTGGGTTTATTTCCAAAAAAGGAAATGGGACTTTTATTTTGATACGTCTCGAAATGGAAAGCAGGTCATTTAATTTGATACGGAGGGAGTAATTATTTACCAAGGCAATTCAAATTGTCTGCAGATTTTATTATAATCATTTATACACTTACCAAACAATGCTCGATCAAGGCTCTTGTTCTCTAAATATTCATAGACTAGGAGCCTATTGTCACCATGAACACAGCACCCAATTAACTCGACCAGATTTGGATGTTTTACATTTGATATAGTTTCAATCTCTGTCCAAAATTCGCGGACCCCTTGTTTGGATTCAGCAGCGAGTGCTTTTACTGCCACTTGTAAGCCATTCCGTAGAGTTCCCTATAAAAGCACATTCAACGAGTCCTGATCTTTCATTCAAGCCAGATGTATAACCAACTCATATAAGACAAACGACACTACTTCCTCCTTCCCAAGAGAAAAAAAGTGACGAAAGGTACGAAGAGGTATGTAGTCTCTGCGCTAATTTAATCAAACCAAGCTAATTGTTTATGCAACTTATCAAAAAGAGCAAAGAGAGGTAACATGTGATAAATTTAGTCACACCAACATTTGAATAATATAAGTGCACTTAAGTCAGTTTCACTTTAGCAATCTTAAAAGTTGTATAGGTTGAAATAAATCTTTTTGGGGAGAGAGGTGGTATTAGTTATAGTGAGTAACTTCTAGAGTGCAAATTATGGAGTCTAGCAATTTTCAACTGTGGGACTAACTAGGTTAAAAACAGAGTACGCACAACACGAAGTAGTACTATACCTTGTAAACAATACCAAAACCTCCTCTTCCTATCTTACTAACTTGACTGAAGTTGTTTGTTGCTTCTTTCAACTCCGAGTATGTGAAACTTTTTGTGATTGCACTTGAACTATCTGGGCAGGGATATGTAGGTGAAGGTAGATATGTAGGGCATTAGATGTTGAAATACTCATTAAAACTTGATTAGTTAATATGTATTCCTGAAACTTCTGGAATGTAAATAAGGAGATAACTAATGAACTTTCTGAGGATTTAATCACAAACCTCCAGCATGTCGAGCTTCTTGATGAGCAAAATTATTCCCACGGCGCCTTCTTGATCCACCAAAACAGCTACAAGTCATGTCAACAGACTTTATGTATCAGAAATTCACCAAACACGGGTTACATTATCTCAGCTTATTAGCGAACTATGGCCCCTATTATTTCAATAACGGCAGCATGATTTGTTGAAACAAAGAAATCTGTGTGAGTTTCGTTTAGAAACATCTAAGGCATATTACGGGCTATGAGGGCCGAGCTCATCGATTAATCATGAAGAAGGAATAGAAAACGAAAACAAAGCTCAGACCTCAGCATTTCGAGCAGAATTGTGCGCGAAAGTGAACTCCCGCCTTGACTGTAGATAGGAGAGGGAGAAAGAGGTTGTCGGAACTGACGACGTCGCAGTGAGGTAGAAGTTAAGAGGGTAGAAGTTGATGATGAGTCGATGAGTCGTCCGGGGGAAGTCGACTAAATCATCAGCAGTCCAAGCTCTCTTGCCATCTTCGCATTTCAACCATTGGAATAGTCTGAATAGCGTTTGGACGAAAAAACAACTCGTAGTTGAGTCGTACCATGCTGTTCGATTCTCCCCAAGTCCCAACTGTGTCCGCACTTTATACAGAGTAATTAACTTTGGGTTTCATTCCAAATTTCCAATAATGCAGGAAAATTGGTCATTCAAACCAACAATTTTTGAAATTTTCTGATCTTTTAGTTACGTTTGAACTGTGTCCGCACTTTATACGAAGTAATTAACTTCAGTTATTGTCCTAAATAAGACTAAAACAATACAAAAATTCCAAAACAGGACTTCTTATTAATTTATTACTCAAATGAGAGTTTTAAAGTTGACTGTCCATTTAGTTTTCAGGATTTACCCTCCCACGCTTATTGAATGATTCGCCCCTCACAAGTAGTACGCCACAACTCATACACAACCTTAGCTGTCAGGCACAAAGTCCCAAACCCACCCTCTCCCATCTCTTCCTTCCATCCGACCCATCTGTCTGCTATCTTTCTTTTCTCTCAATTGATTGAGTATTTACAACTAAGAAAGCTTGGATTTCAAAGGTGCCATACTCCCCATCTCCGACGACCGACTCGTCTCTCCAGATCTCTTTGCTGGTCGGCCATCCTTGATTTTCTGTCTCTTTTGCACCGTGACTCCGATCATGTGTCATAACTCCGGTGATATACCGGTCTTGTTTGGTAAGTATCTTCCTCCTCTTCCATCTTTTTCTCCCCCATCTTCTTCTTCTCCTCCATGTTCTTCTCCGTCATCTTTGTTCCTCCGTTTTCTTCTCTTACAATTTTTCTATTTTCTATTGTTTCGTGTGTTTAATTTTTAGATTCAAAATGAGTTCGAAAGATTTCCAAAATTTATTATATGAAAATTTCAGATCTGACTTTAACAAATGTCCAGTGATTTAAAAGAAATTGAATCTGGTTTTTATTATTAAATTTAGTTTTTTATTTAAAGTTTTCAATTTACTGAATGTAGTTCTGAAAAATCTACACGTAATGTTTATTTTTGGAAAACAATGTTGTTTTCAACTTTTCATGATATTACATGTTTTTCAATATGTTTGACTAATAATGCCATTTTGCATATATGAAGTTGGAATTAACTACATAAAGATGACTGTTAGGTCCCTGTTTTTCTAGTCTAGAATGTATGTATGGAAGATAGATCTATGATTTGAAGCTTTCCATTGATGTGTAGAGGTTTTACAGAATGATATGAAAGTTTAGCGTGAAACCTTACACGAGAATAGGCACTGTGGCACAGAGAATGTATTGAAAAGCTTAACCTAGCCTTTCCCTTAAGGCATATATATAGCCTGACGGGAAAGGTAGGTTTTACAATCATTTGGGCTCATTTTTCTAGGAGGCCCATACCTAAAAAGGCATGAAAGCCTTTATTACAAATTGCCTTAAAAGGCCTATTCATTATTCTAGCTAGTCTATTTATTTATTTGAACTAACAACAAAAGCATAAGTAACATTGATCACAATACAATGAAAATATCTCTAACAATCTCCCCCTTTGTGATCAGATGTTCTTGCTTCTTTTATTCTTCACTCCCGAGCTTTATAATAGTGCTTTCTGAGATTGAGTGCATGCTCGTAGTTTCTGAGTGACCTTCTTCTGTCAAGTTGTTTCTCAATGGCTTTCAACACCTTGTCGATTCTGTTTGCCTCTGTCAGTTCATCATCTGTGGCATCTGCATACTTCTGCTGTTTTTCTTCAAATTCTTTTCTGATCGGTTGCAATTTTTCTTTAATGATCTTCAGTGTTCCATCACAGTACTTGTTGATTTCTTCAGCCACCAGCACACGCCTCTCACCATTGTGATTCAGGTAATGATAGCTAACGGGCGATCGAAGATGTAATATGTTGGAAAGTTCTCAAGCTCTGGCCCGTAAAGCTTTGGTCTTGAGAGGTTTGTCTTTGGCAGATTGGTTTCTAGGGCCATCTAAAGGTCATGGGAAGCAAAGAATTTGACTTGTCTGATCATGAAGCGCTTGAGTGCCTTGAATCCCTCTTGTGTAGATTTGTCCCAGGTGATAGGAATTTCTTGGAATGCTAGGTACACATGATAGATGTCGTCCATTTTTAGCATATAGAGGTCATTTTCTTTGCAGGTAAATTCAGTCCCGTCAGAGCGTTGTAGGCGGTAGACAGAGAGTGTGATGTCTTGATGATTTACTTCGGCTACATTGAGAATACTCCATACTGGATCTGTTGCTGTTTGTAGCTCATGTTGCCACACTTCTCTCTGTTTCCCCATGTAATGATGACTAAGCAGAAACAGTTGTCCGCCCTTGTTCTTTCCTCGCAAATGATTAAGTCCACGGATTTTCAGTTCGTCCAATTCCTTGACTTTGTCATCCCTCCGCCATATACGCTTTCTGATTTCCTCTTGGAAAGGAGCATTGATGTTAATATTCTCCCAAGGTTTTTCACTCATGGGCATTCGAGCCGCTGTTTGTCTGATGATGGATTCCAGCTCCTTGGGAGGTTCCTGATAATTTTCCCTTTCCTTGAGTTCATCGTCATCAAGCAGTATCACATCAGCAGCACATCTAGCTAGGAGCTCTCTGAGATAGGCTCTTCGCTGTATTTCATCCACATTTGTCCATAGCCGAGACCACTTGTTATGAACAAGAATTTCTTCAAGTTCGTCATGCATTCGATCATCGTGTTGGCTAGAGGGAACTTGCTGCTGCTGTGGCGGTCTGTCAATAGTAGCTCCGGGATCACTAGGATTACCCGTTATCATCAGATTAGAACTAGATTCTTTCTGATGGCCTGAATAAAATGGTGTACTTGACGTAGCAACCTCAGTACTTCCACTCCATCCTTGGACAGCATCTGTAAAGGATGTGCCTAGGAGTGTTGTTTCTAGCTCGACCGGGCTAGATGTGGGTGGATTGGCTGTTTGGCTTTTGTGTTGAGTGGATGGTGGGGGCTGATTGTTCGAGGATTCAGGTGGGTTGGAATGCGTGGAAGGTTGGCTTGTTGACGCATCACGCTCAAGTATCTTTTGCCTCTTGTTCTCCCCCTCATGAGGATCCGAGTCATCGGGGTCCTCATGCGAACGTTTGTGACCAAGGAGACTATCACGGCATGTGCTGTCAGGTTTAAGGATCCGAAGAAGGTCTTTTTGTTTCTGGGTTAGGTTGCCTTCTTCGGTGGCTAGTAATTGATCTAGCATTAGGTTCTCGAGTACCTCGAACGGTAAAGTTTTAGGGTCAGGAAAAGGTGTGGTCGAAGTAGGGGAGGATACTAGTTCTGTATCCTGGGTTCCCCTTGAACCAGTTGGTGAGTGAGGTAGGGTTGTGGATGGTTCAGAGGTTTGTTGGGTAGGTAAGAGAGGAAGTGGTTGGGTTTGTTGGGTATGTGAGGATGATGGTTGGGGTTGGATGATGTCATTAAGCAGCGCCGGGGTGTTCCTGAATTCCTGTGCCCGAGCGGTTATTGCTTCGTGCACCCATGGCTTAATGGTGGAATCCATGAAACGCTGTAGAATGACTGAAAGGTCGGTAGGGTCAGGGTTTCCGGTTACAGGGGTAGTAACCGTTGTCACAGCATCAGTAAAGATTACCGATGTGTGGCCTGCAGATAATGATGGAGATATCTGTTGTGCAGCAGGACTTCCGATCATCATCGACGTATCTCCGATCGTTGAGGACAGGTAAAGTGCACCTGTTGTGTGCAGTGGTGTGAGCAGTGTATGTGTCCTAGAAAAAGTGGAAAATGTTGGGAGGGTGGAACCTAGACTCAATGTGCTAGAAGGAGGGGTAGTGGTCTGGGGCGGAAGACCACAAAGAATATCCTCAACTGCGTCGTAAGGAGGCAGTGAGGTGGGTATAATGTCCCCTGTTTGTGAAACTACTACCTGTTGGGAGGCAGCAGAGTGGCTAGGTAAGGCTTGTGCATGCGCAGTTGGGCTAGATGCTGCGTCTTCTACCCGGAAACTGAAAATATCAGTTTCTGCACCTATGGGGTTAGCCCGGTTTATGGTGTCTAGGTCAGAGCAGCTGTCATACAAAAGCTAACTCTTCTGCCAGGTTGCTTGCGGTTTGCACTCTTTGCACAGGAGTAGATGATGAGGCATGGTCATGGCGTACCTTGGAGCGAGTCTCACTGATGATGTTTCCTTGAGTGTTCTTGATTTGGTGAGACTGCTCTTGTGTTGTAGCACGAGAAAGCCTGATAACGAGACGTCCTTTCTTTGCGGGGGCTTTCTTGGCTTTCTTGGCGTTAGCATTTGCGTCGTCGTCATCCTCATCATCGTCATCGTCGTCGTTCTTCTCAGCCTTGCTCCCAGAGCCCTCATCGTCAGCGTCTTGTGTTGTGGCTACGCTTGGCGAATCATGGGTAAACTCTTCAGCACGGGGGTGGCCCTCAGCAGACGTAGTCTGATCATCATGGGGCCGGCTTGCCACTGGTCTCTGTGGCCGGGTTGAACTCTCAGGACCCTCACTTACTCTCGGCTGACTCCCCGGGGTAGGCTCAGGGGGGTTTATCTGAGCCATAGGGAGTATAATGTTGTTCTCCTCGCTGTAGCGTATGACATGTGGATCATTGCGACCAGCTAACAGGAGGAGAGGAACAGGAATAGGAAGAGGTACCAGTGTGCATACCTCTGGCATTCTCTTCAGATATTGTAGGGCTGGAGTGGTGACATTCTCAGATGTTTTGCGTCTTTGGATTGTTGGAATTGTTCTGTAGAAGTGTCGCACCAGCAGTGAGAGCCATCTCATATATGGTAGATGTTTGATCAGATCAGTTTCAAATTTCCTTCTTCGCATTTCCAGAATGTCACCCCAGATTAGTGAGGTGAAGTCGTAGTTCTTCATGAAAGCGATGCCGTGGAAGATGTAGACGAGGTAACCGCTGCATTTGTCGAAGCCACTGTGCTTAGATGTGCAGCACTTGTTCAGTGTGGCCATCAGTGTCCTCCATGGTCGTGGAAATCTTGCTGTCTTGATTGCGGACATCAGTCGGAGGGGTTCAGAGTGGCCTAGCTTGATCATGTCTTCAAATATTTGCGTTTCTGAGGCCAACGCATCATAGTGTTCCTCCTCCGGGATTTGTA